CTCTGTGTAATTTATTTCTTAGTTTAATATTTAAATTGTTATCCAATGAATACATTGCCAGAAAAGCAACATAGATATATAAGAAAAGCAATGCTGTTTCTCTTTTTGTAATTAGCATGCAACAGTCTCTTAGTTTAAGGCCATCTGAAAAAAAAAAAGTATTTCGTATAAGATTTGTTGCTTCTCTGATTTCTTGTTATTATCTAATTACTTTCAGAAGTAACACTGCCTTATCAAAGTTCCTTATCAAAATCTAACCTTTTATATTATTTTACTGCCTTCTGAAAGCATGCAAAGAATGCTTCCCATATTTCTAAAGGGAAGTTAGTAGATAATATAGTATAAACTATATATACACTATATATAAATCACTTCTCAAAAGTACCACGTGTGTGTGTGTGTTTATATCAGGGGTGAAATGCTCCCAGTTAGAACCGGATTGCCCAATCCAGTAGCGATGGCGGCGGGTAGTTCGGAGAAACGGTAGCAAAAATCCCTGCCCCCCCCCCCATGCCCAGTTGAGCCGCATGATCATCAGAGGCTTTTTTTTTTTTTACTTTTAAAACATTTTTTCTACAACCTCTTCGGCCGAAAAAATGCTTTTAAAAGTAAAAAAAAAAAAAAATCCTCTGATGATCATGCGGCTCAGCTGGGATCGTCAGAGGCTTTTAAAAGCACTTTTTTCTACAACTTCTTTGGCCAAAGAGGTTGTAGGAAAAAACAAGCCTTTAAAAGCTTCTGACAATCCCAGCTGAGTTGCCTGAGCGTAAGAGGCTTTTAAAAGCATTTTTTTCTGCAACCTCTTAAGGTTGTAGAAAAAATGCTTTTAAAAGTAAAAAAAAAAAATGGCCACGCCCATGCTGTCACATTACCACCACCACCACCAAGCCACGCCCACAGAACCGGTAGTAAGAAATATTACATTCCACCACTGGTATACACACACACACACACACACACACACACATATATATATATACCGTGTTTCCCCCAAAATAAGACTCTGTCGTATTTTTTTTTGAACCCTGAAATAAGCGCTTGGCCTTATTGCCATGCACTCAAAAGCCCAATTGGGCTTATTATCAGGGGATGTCTTATTTTGGGGGAAATAGGGGATAGATAGATAGATAGATAGATAGATAGATAGATAGATAGATAGATAGATGTATAGATAGACAGACAGACAGACAGACAGACAGACAGACACACACACACACACACACACACACACACACACACACACACACACATTCTGTCTTATTTTAAAAATCAAATCTTTCTCTCCCCTTTCCTGGCTTCCTTTACTTTGAAGTCTTAAACTTTTAAGGAAACCCAGCAGCCTCAGAATCTAGTCTGCATATTTAGATGGAGCATGTAACCAAATCTTAGTATAAAACTAACTTATAGAAAGCATTCATATCAGTGTTTATCCTACCTCTTCTTTCATAGCTACCAGGGAAATATAAGTTTTGAAGAAGTATTCTTCATTTCATGTTAACTACTATATGATTTGTTTAAACAAATCAGTTTCATAACCTACAGGATGAGACTGGTCCACTGCAAGCAAAAAAACAAATTATATTGTTTGAAATTTGGCAGGTTCAAGTAATAGTAGCAAGGTATGGGCGATGAAGACTAAAAATGGTGTTGGAGAAGAGAGGTGATATATGAGCCAAGGCTCTCTGTTATTTGTGTTCATCATCTGTTCATAATACAAAGTCCACACACAGCCAATGGCTGAGTTCAAATATCACACTAAGCCACAATGTGGTTTGCTTAATTTTGACATAGTCTAATGAAGCACAGTTATTATATAGTACATAAACTATTTTTTGATTCAATATAAAAACCAGACCATTCTGTCTTACTCAGTAATTAAAACACAGCTTTGCATAATTTGAGGTGTAAGTTCACCAAACAATTTTAATTCAAAATTCATACACTCCACCAAACTCCTAAGAGTAGGCGTTTAAAATTCTGTATTTAGTAGATAGTCCTTGACCTACAACAGCTCATTTAGTGACAGTTACAAGTTACAAAGGCACTGAAAAAAGTGACTTATGACTACTTTTCACACTTACGACGGTTGCAGCATCCCCACAGTCATATGATCAAAATTCAGACCCTTGGCAACTGACTCATATTTATGACAGTCGCAAAGTCCTGGAATCAGGTGATCTCCTTTTGCAACCTTCTGACAAGTAAAGTCAATGGGGAAGCCAAATTCACTTAACAACCGTATTACTGAATTAACAGCTGCCCTGATTCACTTAACAACTTTGGCAAGAAAGATGGTAAAATGGAGCAAAACTGACTTAATAAATGTTTCACTTAGCAAAAGAGAGATTTGGGGATCAATTGAAGTTGTAAATCAAAGATTATCTATTTACAGTAGTGGCCAAAATTGTGGAAACCTTTTGAGAAAAGTGTATTTTCTAAAACTAGCTAATAACACCACTTTTTTTTTTTTGAGTAGTGCCATAAAATTATATATCAATGGAAAGATAATTTAATCAAGAATGTAATGCAATAACTTTTATGAAGGATTTGCTATTAGAATAGCAGTTACAGTATAAAGAAGAAGTGAAACACGTACTGTAGAAAAAACGAGATATGTAAAAATGATCACATCAGTTAATAGTTATTTGGGTAACCTTTAGCATGAATTACAGCCTTACAATGTCTTCCCATGGAGTGAACCAAATCTTTTAGTTCTGCAGCTGTTATAATGTGAAACCAAGATTGAATGATTGCTTCTATTAGCTGGATTTTATTTCTGGGTCGTTTCTGACCAGTGATGGGTTCCTCCCGGTTCCGCCTAGTTCCGCTGAGCCGGTAGCGGTGACAATATGACGTCACCGAACTGGTTCTCTTTGTTCGGGAGCTGGGCCCTCCCGCCCCCCCCCCGTGCTCCCCCCTGCGTTATTCTTACCTTTTATTTGGCCCCACCCCCAATCTATTGCTGCCTCCCGAGTCCCAGCTGATTGGCTAGAAGAAAAAAAACTGTTTAAACTCTTGCTGCAGGGCTTCAAAGGGCCGCCCTACAGCTGATCAGTGTTAAAAGGCAGTGTGGTGGTAGACCGGTGCATCCAAAAACAAATGAGTAGACCGGTACAGCTCTGCAAGCAGTTAAAATCCTGGTAGACCAGTACTTCTGCTAAATCCTAAAGAATTGTCACATGACCATCAAGCCCACAAAATAAGCCACACCCACAGAACCGGTAGTAAAAAAATTTAGAACCCACCCCTGCTTCTGACTAACAAGTTTCCTTAGTCGGTTCCATAGATTTTCAATTGGGTTAAGGTCTGGGCTATTCCCAGGCCATTCCAGTAGTGGAATAGGATTATCTTGAAACGCCAAAAAAAAGTGGTGTTATTAGCCATCAAACCTCAAAAATACACTTTTCCCAAAAGGTTTCCACAATTTTGTCCACTACTGTAATATAAATGAATGGCATAGAGTTTGGGTACTCTAGAACCGCCCACCTCCCATAGTATCTGCCCAGATAATTTGATCTTGGAAAGTTGGCGTGGGCTGAGTTCCTTCAATTAATCAATGCCATCTATTGGGACCTGTAATAGCACCTGCCCACTCCCACAGATCCATCCTGCTGGTGTTTTGCAGAGCCTTAAAGAGATGGATCTTCACTCAGGCTTTTGGCAAGAGTGACTAAAGATCCCATATTGGAAATGTTGGGTTTGCTTGTTGCTCGGATTTTGCCATCTTTCGTTCTCTGATTTCTATCACTATATTATTTTATTGTCCTGAGTGCTTTCATCTATAAACTGCCCACAATCAGGTGGGAATCGGATGATGTAAAATAAATAAAGCAATAAATAAATGCCTCCCACTTACTCAGTTCCAAGTTTACTGAAAAAAGTTTGCTAATAATTGCTATCAAGTCTACAAAATAACAGATTTGTCTCAAGTTCATAAAGTGTCAAGAAAAAAAAACACTATGCACCATCTTCATTATTTCATTGCTAACAAGAACCCCTTCTAAACATCTTTCATTCCCAATTCTTCACCCAGAATATAAATCTAAGTGGTTCCCTTCTTTGATATCCCTTTTAAGAATGTCCTCAGAGCATCAAAAATGAAGGAAAGTAATGCTTTGTTCTAAAAAGATGTATTTTATGTTCATGTTTTTTTAAAAAAAAATTAAAAAAAATTTACAGAAAAAAAAATGAAGGAAAGTAGAGGCAGGAATTTTTTTTAAAGAAAAATATTTAGATTTGGCTGAAATGTATTCACTCACCTGGGAAACTTCTTAACCCAGGATTTATGGCTGTAGGGGGAAAAAAGAGATACCCAGTACTGTTAAACACTGGATGATGGCGTACACCAGTGGTTCTCAACCTTTTCTTCATCACGGACCCACTTTAAATACCTTTTATGGCCACGGACCATGGCCATGGACCAGTGGTGAAATTCTCCACGGGTTGCCACCAATTTGCTGCCCACGCATGCGCGGTGCACACCAAAAGCATCATGTGCGCACATGCATTGTGTGCATCAAACGTGTGCTGCACATACATGCATGTGCAATGCGCACCAAACACGTGCTTTGCACAGAAAAAGGAGCGCTTTGAAGGTAAGTAGAACAGAGGGGGGGAACAACTGTACCGTGTGATTTAGATTCGCTAGAAAGCAGGATTTCCTGCTTTCTAGTGAATATAAACCGTGTGGCACAGCTGATCATTGGAAATACCGGTTTGGACCAACCGGTAGCTTTTTTTTAATACCGGTTCACTGAACCAGTAAATTTTATCGCCCGAACCGGTGCAAACCGGTAGGATTTCACCACTGCCATGGACACCTAAGACTTCACCCAAAATTTATAATCGTAACATTTCTTCAAGTCTTCATGGCCCTCCCAGGAGTCCGTGGACCAAGGTTGAGAACCACTGGCATACACTATTAGATGATTAGTCCTGTATTTCTCAAATGACAGTCAAGAAATATATGCTATGCAGCAAAAGAAAATAGCGGCTCTTACCCCAAAGTGCTGATAAATCCATTTGTTGAACCTTCTGCGTACAAAGAACAAATGTCTCCAATGTGCAAAAAACTTGACATCTTGTCACACATCTGGGGCTTGCTGGCTCTAGGAGAAGGGAAAAAGAACTTATTAATATTAACCAGTTCAACAACGGTATTTGTCACGGTGGCTGAAGTTCAAGGAAAGTTTGTCACCAGTGTAAATTCACATGAGTTACACACAACCATAGAGGAACGTACAGGGAATCCTAGACTTACAACCATTCACTTAGTGCTATAATGTCAATGAAAAAAAAAGTGACTTATGACTGTTTTTCACAGTTACGACCAATTCAGCATCCCCATGGATAGATGATCAAAGTTTGGAAGCTTGGCAAGTGGCTCATATTTATGACGCAGTGTGTCAAGGTCATGTGACCACCTTTTGCGAACTTTTGACAAGCAAAGTCAGTGGTGGGGGAAGCCAGATGCACTTTACAACCATATTACTAACTTAACTACTGTGGCACGAAAGATCGCGAAATGGGGTAAAACTCAGTTAACGACTGTCTTGTTTAGCAACAAGAAATTTTGGGCTCAATTGTGATCGTAAGATGAAGACTAGGGACTGCAAAGGAAACACTTAGGTCAGGGGTGGGCAACTGTGGCCCTTTTACAACCTGTGGACTTCAACTCCCAGAATTCCTGAGACAGCCAAGCCTACCCCTGACTTAGCTGAATCTAAGCAATGCCATTCCAAAAGTTGTTATTATTTGTCACTAGTTTCAACAAGCCTTAAGACCAGTGGTGAAATGCAGCTGGTTCTATACAGATCGGGCAAACCATTAGCACCAGCAGCAGGAGGCTCCGCCCACCCGCCCAGACGTCATCACATCCGGATGCTCCGCGGTCCTGCACATGCGCAAAGGTGTCTCGCGCATGTTCCCATTTGCGAACCGGTAATGAAGGTAAGTGGATTTCACTCCTGTTTAAGTCACAAATAATTGTTAACATTAATTTTAATAGAAGTACAGCAAATGTAATAAAAATTGTCCCACTACAAGTTAGTGTAGATACTCCTTGACTTACGACCACAGTTGAGCTCAAAATTTCTGTTGCGCAATGAGACAATTGTTAAGTGAGTTTTATTCCAATTTATGACCTTTCTTGTCACGATTGTTAAGTAGATCACTATAGTTGTTAAGTTAGTAACATGGTCGTTAAGTAAATCTAGTTTCTCCATTGACTTTGCTTGCCAGAAGGTCGCAAAAGTGGTCACATGACCTCAAGGCACTGCGTCATAAAGGCATCATAAATATGAGCCAGTTGCCAAGCTTCCAAATTTTGATCATGCGGCCATGGGTCACAAAGGGTGATCACATGATCCTGGGACACTGCAGTCGTCATAAATATGAGTCAGTTGCCAAGTGTCTGAATTGTGATCACATGACCCTGGAGATACTGCAATGGTCATAAGTGTGAAAAATGGTCATAAGTCAGTTTTTTCAGTGCCATTGTAACTTCAGTCACTAATGAACTGTTGTAAATTGAGGACTACCTGTATTACATTTGGAACAATATTTTCACATTTTAAGAGAAAATCAATGTTCTCGAGATTTTTGAAACCACAGAAAAGGATTATTTCTAGTTTTTCTTTCCAAAACAATTAAAATTGGGACTATTTTGAAACGTTTCAATTACTTATCCTCTTATCAAATGTAAATGCATTTCATTGATTTAATGTGTAAATTATAACAAAATGTATTTATTAGTTATACTATAGAAAAACACAAATTATTTTATTTTTACTTTTCATAGGACAAAAACAAAGATACACATACAGTAAGATAGAAAATGTTACCAATTGCTACACTTTATTCTAGCCTTTCATATTTTTGTTAATTTCAAGCAATATCAGATAACATTACACATAGTCATGACTGTCATTGAAGCCAGAATTATGGTCCTAAATCGTTGTGGTCATACGTCAAGCTATCACATGACTTTTTTACATTTTTTTGCAGCGATCAATGATCCAATACAGGAAGTGAGACAACACAAATCCAGGAAATGAGAAAGCCAGTTTGGTCTAGTGGTTAAGACACCAGGCTAGAAACCAAGAGACTGTGAGTTCTGGCCTCACTTTAATCTTGAAAGCCAGATGGATGATTAACAGATTAACAGTAACAGAGTTGGAAGGGACCTTGGAGGTCATCTAGTCCAACCCCCTGCTCACGCAGGAGACCTATACTAGGGATTCGAACCACCGAACTGCCGACCTTTCTGATCGACAAGCTCAGCATCTTAGCCACTGAGCCACCTAGCCAGGCTTTACTCTGGATGACTCTGCCTTAGCCCAACTCACCTCACCTCAGGTTCGTTATTGTGGAGAAAATAAGAGGAGGAAGGTGTGCTGGATATATTCTGTACCTTGAGTAAAAGTAATAAAGGTGGATACAAATAAATAAAATGAAATGGAGCACTTAAGGAATTGTTAGGGTCAAAGAGGTCACATGCTTGGCATCTGAGCTTCCTCACTTTGGGTAGCAACATGGGGGAGATGTATTTAGAAGTCCAGAGAACTTTATTTATAACCCCGCTGAGGAACAAATTGCCAGCCTTTTTTTTTTTCTTTTATATTTGTACAAGGCAGGCACCAAGTCAAAGGAAGGCATGATACTTTGGCAATTATCTTTCTCCCAAGCAAACCAATATTGCAAGTGGTCTAATGAGAGATATCACCATAAATATAGGCAAAACCTAAAGTCTTCTAAAATATTATTATTATACTTTAAAATAACTGGATTTTCTTAAAGAAAATTGAAGAAACTGCAGCTTTTTTTTTAACTAAGAGGATTTATGATTGTATGGGGATACTTAGATACTTTAGATAAATTGGTATGCTAATTATTATCTTATTATGGAATGGTCAAACTCCAAGGCACTCTCTTTTGAAGCTTGGGTTTTATATGAAAATGGCAGTTTTAATTTTCCTGATTTCCAGTTATATTATTTGGTTATACTTGTTTTTATTTTTATTGTACTGAAATGAAGATGACAATAGAGTGTAGCACCTATGAAATCCCAGCAAATGTTTTGTTCTAAGGATAATAGAAAATCTGTTGTATTTCTAGCACTGAATTTATTTTACATATCTTTTGACAATATTGAATAGGAAATTAAAATCTGATCCCCACTCTCATGAGAATTTCACTTCCTGGAATAATTAACTAAAAATGGCAAGTGTTTTTGTTTTGTTTTGTTCTTTCAAAAGTGTGGGTAGAAAATGGGACAATTCCTGTAATTGTCTCATGATTAATGATATTTTTAAAACCTTTGAAATTAAAAAACCAATAACTATAACTCACCTAAAATAGTTGAATGGTAATACCTTCATTTAAAGCACCTATTATGCTCTGCATGGATCAGAGCTATTGTCGCTGCAGTAATCTACATCAATACAAATCTATTAGAGAAACGTTTTAGAAAGCTACACCAACAAAGTCAGTTTGACTGAAAAATTTAAAAATACTAAATAAATATGGATAATATAAAAGGAATCTGGAACAGATTGTTCGTGTTTCCTAAAATACAAATTAGATGGCATCAGGTTTTAATGTTCAGGTAGCCCTCGACTTATGACCATAATTGGGAGCAGAATTTTCATTGCTAAGTGAGGTGGTCATTAAATGAGTCACGCCAATTTTACAAACTTTTTTTTACCACAGTCATTAGCAAATCTGGCTTCTGCCATTGATACTGCTTATTGGAAGCTGGATGGAAAGATCATAAATAGCAGTCATGTGATCCCAGGATCTTGCAAATGTTATAAATACATTCTGATTGCAAAGTACCTAAATTTTGATCATGTGACCGCAGATCCCAGAGCTACCCTATAGTACAGTGATGGTTAATCTTTTTGGTGCCGAGTGCCCAAAGCATGTGCGTGTGTGCCCGGATCTCCAAAATGCAATGCAAACACCCTATGCATGCACCCCTCCCCCACACGAGTGCGCATTCCCCACGCATGCACCCCAGGCCTTACCTACACATGTGCCGCAGCCCCCCATTTTGTCTTCCAGGTTTGTGCAGGAGGCTTTCCAAGCCCAAAAAAGGGTGTGGAGGGGCCTCGCACAGCGCCCCGCGCCCCATTTTGGCTTCCAGGCCCAAAATAGGATGCGGGGACACGCACACAACTCCCCAAAATGCAATGCAAGTGCCTCCTGTGCATGCGCCCTGCCCCCCTGCTCATGCGCGGTAGAGATCCAAAGACCAGCTGGCCAGCAGGAGGCATGCGCACATGCGCAGTGGAGATGGGCTGATGTGACAGCTGGTGTGCCAGGTGACATGGCTCCACATGCCACTTTGGGCACACATGCCATAGGTTCACCATCACAGTTATAGTAAGATGGGCGGCCAATAAATTTTATAAATAAATAAACTGTCATATAAGTGTGAGGATTGGTCATAAGTCACTTTTTTCAGCATAGTAGTAACCTTCAATGGCCACTAAACAAATGGTCTTAAGTTAAGGAGTACTTGTACAATCAAATATGTTTTGTGTGATCCTAAAATGAGGCTTACTGATAAAAAATTATCTTTTGGATCTATTGGGGTTGTTAACATGTTTTAAAAATTATTGACATTCTTTTACAGTGCATGTAATATATTTGAATGTATCTTAGCATACATTCTTTAATCATGTCCCTTGGTAGCTTCTCAATGGTTGAATATCTCACAAGGAATTATGTTCTCAGGAGGCATTTAAGATTTAATGGAATTAATGTAGGACGATAATATTTCAGAAATACGGAATATGTCAATTTATTATGAATTTTGGATTTACTGTGCTTGGACTGTTGCCAAAAAGGTCATCAAATGTTCTGGGAAAGACTTATGTGCCACCACCAAAGGTTGTTTGATGAAATGTGTCATGTCTCAACGTTTGAGACTGTATTGAGATTATATCTCAAGACCTAAAATGGACACCTAACATCAAAAACGTCATCAAAAAAGCACAACAAAGAATGTTCTTTCTGTGCCAGCTCAGGAAGCTCAAACTGCCCAGGGAACTGCTGATACAGTTTGACAGAGGAATTATTGAGTCTGTCATCTGCATCTCTATAA